GAGAGAGAGAGAGAGAGAGAGAGAGAGAGAGAAAGAGAGAGAGAGAGAGGCCAGATTGTTAGCCAATGGCAGGCAGCTGGGTCCCTTGGCGAGGAGAAAGGCTGCACCCCGGGACAAAGATTCCCCAGGAGGGCACGGAGAAAGGAGCGACAACACACTTTTAGGGTGGCGAGGCAATTGCTGACACACCTGGGGCAGTCTTCAGAGCTCCAATCCAAGAACACGGTAGGGCTAACCCTGACCACCTCAGGTACCCATCACTCCACAGAAGGGCCAACCCGGACCCACCAGGTGCCCATCACCCCCGGGCAGCGCTAACATCCTCCTTCTTCCCAGACTACCGCTTGCAGTTCTGAACTAAACCTCGGAGCTTTGGGTCCCCGGGAGACACGGGGTGCGGCGGGAGGAGCCGGCTCAGGAGGCGCGGAGGGGAGGCCGTTACCGGTGCACGTAGTGGATAAGGAACATGGCCAGCAGGACGCGGTTGGGCCAGCTCCCCAGGCGCGCGGCTGCCGGGCGCACGCACTCGTAGAGCGGCCAGGCCAGCGAGGGCAGCTCCTGCAGCAGCCAGGCGGGCCGCGCGGGCACCCGGAGCCCGGACCACCGGGCCGAGTAGCGGCCATAGGGCGTGCCGACCTGCAGCAGCAGCACCCAGGCAAGGCAGCCCATGAAGCCCTCCAAGTAGGCCAGTGCGTCTAGGAGCCGCAGCTCTGCCGGTGCCATCGCGGAGACCAGGCGGCGCGCTCCATGCCTCGGCGGCCGCGTGGGGCCACATATAAGGCGGGGACGAGGGGGCGGGAGGCTCTGCTACCCCCGGCCGGGAGCGGCCAGCCCCGGCCAGCGCCCCAGCAGACAATACCTGCCCCTGGACCGGCGAGCCACCTGCTGGCAGGCGGCCTGAACACGCTAGGTGGGGCTGAGCCCGGCCTCCGGAACCCGCCTACACGCCCACAGCCCCGCCCACAATTGTAACCCCGCCTCGGCAGAGCCCGAGCCCGGCCCTCCAGGCCCTGCCCATCACCATAGTCCCGCGCCCTAGTCTAAGAGCCCCGCCCACCAGCGTGGCCACGCCCTCCTCCTCAGAACAGAGACCCGCCCACGATCATACCCACGCCTTTCAACGTCGCCTCTGGGCCCCGCCCACTACAATGGTCCCGCCCTCTATCATAGCCACGCCCCCGAGAGGGCACAGAGCCCCGCCCGCTCGCATAGCCCGCCCTCCTTCGGAGCCCCTCTCTCCATCACAGCCCCGCCCCCCACAGCTCCAGAGCCCCTCACTACAAGCCTCACCCACTACCGTACCCACGCCTTTCAGCCCCGTCTCTGGACCCCGCCCACCACCATAGCCACGCCTCCGAGCACCGCAAAGTTCTGCCCACACTCATAGCCCCGCCCTCCTACAGAATCACAGGAACCCCCCCTCCCCGCAGAACCCCCGCCCTGAAGCCACGCCTACACCCTTGGAGCCACATTCCCGTCGCCCGCCCTCTGCCCCGAAAGCCCGGAGGGAGGCCTGACTGACCGCAGTGCCTACCAGGACCACCCAGACAGAGCCCAGGCCCTTCCTGTCCCGTCGTCTTAGCAGCTTCACGTCATCGGAGCCACACCCACTCTGCAGCCTGAGCCACGCCCCCCACGGCCTCGCCCGACTGCGCCTCCACGCCCCTCTGCGCCTGCGCACTTCTCAGGTCGTTCACGCAGGTGCCTGAATGCAGGGAACGCGGGTTGACGGGCGCGGAGCCGCTTTGGGGGCTGCGTCCGGAAGCGCTTTCCTTCTCAAGCAGCCACGCTTTTCGCGTGCTCGTTTGCGGGAGGGCGTGCTGTGGCGCTGCAGGCATACTTCTCGACGCCTCCTGCTAGGACCCGGCCGCGGGGCCTCGGGCCGCGACCGGAAGTTCCTGAGCGGCGGCCCTGGCAGGCAGCTGTTTGCGCGCAGCGTGTGTGGCCGCGTGGGCCATGGGGCGGCGGGCGCGGGGCCGGCGGCTGCAGCAGCAGGCGCAGCCCGAGGGCGCGGAGGACGGCGCGGAGGACGGCGGGAAGCGCGGCCCGACGGTAGGGGCCCGTGGCGGGCGCGTGGGCTGCGGGGGGGGCCTGCGGGGCACCCCGGG